AAGAAAGAAGAACAAGTAAGTAAGAATTATTGTTCTGTGTTGATCTATTGAAGGAATAAAGCGGATGAAGCACCGCCTCTCTCTTCCCAAGATCAGATAGATAAAAAAAAGTATAGCCCCTCAGACCTATCTATCTGACGTCCATCATTGGGGTTTATATATATATTTGGTGGGCCCGTTATTATTACAAGCAGTGTTATTTGTGGGCCGTAAAATAAGACAATTAATATAATATATATCCACATGTAATATTTTAATAGGCGAGGCCAAAATTGGGTATTAATTGATATGCGATTTTGTATCAACATGGGGTATTCAGAATATTGTGTTTGTATTGGATATCTGTGAATTTTGTATAATTTGCTGATGACTTTTGATGTAACAATTAATGAAAAAAATTGAAGAAAAAAGAAAGAAGAACAAGTAAGTAAGAATTATTGTTCTGTGTTGATCTATTGAAGGAAGAAAGCGGATGAAGCACCGCCTCTCTCTTCCCAAGATCAGATAGATAAAAAGAAGTATAGCCCCTCAGACCTATCTATCTGACGTCCATCATTGGGGTTTATATATATATATTTGGTGGGCCCGTTATTATTACAAGCAGTGTTATTTGTGGGCCGTAAAATAAGACAATTGACATAATATATATCCACGTGTAATATTTTAATAGGCGAGGCCAAAATTGGGTATTAACAGTAGGCCCCTGACTTTAGGACATGTTCTGAATAGAATTGTTCTGAAGTCACGTGTATAGCCAATTTAGCTGTGATAAATAATGTATCGATGTTGGCCGGGTGCTTTGGGACCCGTAATCGTTTCGTGGATCGGTTCCAGGCTTTGGCATGCCGTATTGAAGGGAATCGTGTTTTTTGTTCTGGCGAGTGGAGTTGACTGCGTGGATAGTCAACTATGTGAAAATGCTATATGAATGGGCCTGGTTGGCCTGGTCGGGTGATTCGGTACCCGATTTTCGTGTGTAATAGGACGCGTTGGATGAATTTGCGTCTGAAATGATCATAATAGTATAGATTTGAGCTGGTGCGGGCACTCGGGCCCCTTGTATTGCTATCGATCTTTATGCAAAGATGTTATCGATATGATATATTTGTCAACCGAATTGAAGAACTCGGTTAGGAACGGACTTTTTAGCCCTACCAAGCTGAAGAACTTGGTGAAAATAAAATAAAAATTTATCTACCGAACTGAAGAGTTCGGTAAAGGCATGGGTATCACCCTTACCAAGTTGAATAA